AGTGTGGGACTCATCGGCGAAGCCAGTACTACCCACTAAAACCCAACAAAACTTTCCCCCGTCTTAATGGGGCGTCGCAGGATCGCTTACGCATTCAACTACGACGCCCCGACGGCAGGTCTGCCGAAGCAGACCACAACAACCATGGTGTTGCTCCACGGTCTACTCTGCTATCAGAGAAGTACCAGGAGCAACCCGCATGGTACACCACCCTCCGAAGAAGGCCGCCTCCCACCGCCCACCGAAGCGGGCCAAGTCCCTGTGCGTTTCTTGGCTTCGCGAGTACCCTACTGAGCCCCCCGCTACGACAAGGTGAACGCACGTTGGGGGGGCACATAACACAAACTAAGGCAAGCTTAATTTATACATAATATATTTAAAGAAATAGAAAATTGAATATATAAACAGTTTATGAAAAATCTAATAAATCGTAAAACTTTACCAATGCTCAAAATAAATTTAGAATTACGGTAAAATGTAAATAGTGTAAGTTCTAACTGTAAGTTTTATTCAATAGATCTTATCAATAATTACGTAATTAAATTACTAAGTACCTATTTTTAAATTAACCGTCTCTCGTAAGAAATAAGCACAAATAGTACATATCTTCTATATAGCTAGAAGATATGTACGTGCAAAAATGTTTTTAATTGTATACCACGCAACAATGCAGCTATTTATATTATGTCAACTACAATACACGTTTATTTATCTTTATCTGACTGATCATTTATCTTACTTATTTTTTTAACAGATATTGAAAAAATAGTGAAAAAAATCTAAAAAAAAAAATAACATCTTCATGTAACAAAGCTTATTTAACTGCTAACCGTACAGCCGTTCATCTCACTGCGTAAGCTGTAACTAGTGTTTTTCACACAAGTTTTATGTGCTATTATTTGGCAGGAGATATAAAAGTAATCCTGCTGGACGTTACCGCCGGACGGCTCATCCGGACCACATAAACCGCTACAACAACCCCTTTATGTTGTGCTCGGCAGTAAAATCTCCGTTACGTATTGTTTTTATATACCTTGTGATTTAATTTGTACTTCTTCTAGAATTGCAGTGCAGCAGTAAATATTATGTTGATATATCAGAATAAAGGTTTTTGCTATTTTGGATAAATGTCTAATAGAAAATTATAAAACTTCTGTTATTTTTGTGATGTACAGTATTTAGAAGTAGATATTATCGGTGACAGTCTATGACTTCGTCTACATAGATATGTATGTTTCTACTTAATCTATGACTTCTAAATCCTATAAGGGACAGCAGCATTCATCTAAGCGCTTCCTAATAGATTCATCATTAATCGTTATCATGTGTAACCTCCTCGTTACGAAGTGTTTACTGGGCTTAAACCAAACTTAAACTCATATTTGAAGAGATAACTAGTAACAGTAGATTTTCATCCACTTCATTACTTCGTAATTAGATCAGTTCGATAATATTAAACAGCTGTTTGAATAACTTGTATGTACGAGTCCTTTAGCGTATAATTATTTCCTAAGTGTTAGGTAGGTTTGTTAGAAACTTATTTTGCAGCTTTGTTAATGGCCATATTTAATTGAAGCTAAAAGTCAGTTAGTGAATACTCTGTAGAAGTTTTTCCCATGGACAATTTTATCTAATATTTAGTATTTAACTCTCTTTTCACTTTTAATAGGCCCAATGGTAAGGCATCGCTTGGGAAACCGAATGATGCGGGCTAGAATCCCGGATCTCGCACCGCTAATATTTTCATGTGCGAATCATTTTTAATATGATTATCACTTACCTTACGATGAAGGAAAACATCGTGAGAAAACCTGCATGTCTGAGAAAATCTAGCAAGTTTTCGAAAGACATGTGAAGTCCGCCTATCCGCACTTGACCAAAGTGGTCTGATACCCCTCGTATTGAAGGGAGGCCCGTGTCCAGCAGTGGGACGTTAAAAAGGGCTGAATACATACCCTTAGATGATAAAGTACCCCAATATTTATAGAATTCAATAGTACTTTGTAACAAACTGTAAAAGAAGCATCAACAATTCACACGCGTCATGTAAGTTCCTACCACGTTATTACTCATGGCAATCCAAAACCCATTTTCTGTCATAAATAAAACAGGTCTCGAGCGCCCCATACCTTTCAATTTCTACATAGTACAAACAATATTCCCGGGCCAATACTAAACAACTGTCATTTTATTTTATCACCAGGCTTTCGCGTAAACTCTCTCGCTAGTGATAAATTTTAATGTTATACGAAATATTGTCGCGTAGTACGGGTAAAGGTGCTGTGGAATCCTTTATTTACTAGCCTAAGTATTACATGAGAACAGGAAGTTTTATGTAAAACTTAAATATCTTAGGTTTCCAATTATATAGGTTATTCCGATGAGAAACGGTTATAACGATGAGAATTGGAACATCATTTAATGAATTAAATGTATTAAAATGTCTGTTATTTTAATAATATTTTTTTTAATATAAATTAATATAATTTTAAATGCTAATCTATATTTATAATAAAATTCTAGCTAAGTCGTATCTGTACATTTAATACCTATTATTTTCTTAATCTTATTGAAATAGTCATTATTATCGATAGAGATGACCGAGAACCAAATTCTTAGGTTTTCCATATTAGTATATTCTTACATTGCAGTTTTTGTACTTTTTCTCAGAAGTGAGACATTTTCCCACGGTAAAAAGTATCCTATATGTTGACCCGGAAAACCAGCTATCACCATACCAAATTTCATCAAAATCCCTCCAGTGGTTTTTCTGTGATGCGGTAACAGACAGACAGACAGTCAGACAAAAATTCTAAAAACTATAGATTCGGCCTTTGCATCGAAAATAATATCTATTTGAATAAGATTTTCTAAAAAAATATTTAATCTATAGATTCGGCTTAGTTACAATTTTATTATATGTATAGATGAATGCCGGCTGCACACAGGAAAAAGTGCCACGTTCCGCTTGAGCCGAGCTTGCAAGCGAGAGCTCGGACTTAGCGATAGAGAGGCACGATCGGCCTAAGTTGTTAATAAGCACATTGTAATTAATCTGTATAATTTGAGTAAAAAAATATTTGAATTAACGAGTGCAAATAAATGTTAATTTATCGAAAGAAATTTTTCATCAACGTTTTCTTATGATGTTATCACGTAAAATTATCGTCCGTAAATCGACTTTACAGAAAGCCAATTTTTTGCCTGTCTGTCTCACGAGAAATCCAATGAACAGATTTTCATGAAATTTGGTATGATGATAGCTGGTTATTCGGGTTAATTTATAGCACACTTTTTACTGCGAGAAAATATCTCATCTCTGTGAAATCTATACTAAACCTTAAAACGTAACTAGACGAAACCGAGCGGAGCAAGGGTGAGTCGCTAGTATCATTATAAATTCAAAATTCATGAATATATATGTTAATAAAAAATATTTTTATTATAATAGAATCTTTTTTAAAAGATTTTTCCTAACAGAGAATTTACATGTAAATGTCGACAGCTGATTTCTAAGGCACAATCTTATAATAAGTACTGCAAAAAATACGGAATCCAAAACCTTTGGGAGGCTATAAAATTATGCATGCCGCGCTTCGTTGTGTAAGCTTAACCCATTGTAAAAGTGTCTTTTAACAAACTCTTACAACTTTTAAACTCCGCCGTGTCTCAAATCTCGAATCGGTCTCAGGGGTGCTCTGTAAAAATTAACATACAAAAAGTCAAAAAATAAAGTTAAAAATGTCCCCTTCCGCAAGTAAACATTTAAGGCCCTTCGATACGGAATTCACGAAAATTAAAAAAGTTGCATAAAATACTAAAACCTGTAATACCAAGTTCTTCTATAAGAGAAATGAAATGATATTATTTTAATATAATATAACAAAATAGCTAGGTATCATGCCTATGGCTTAAGTCTTCGTTGACTAACTATGCTATCTACCTATATCTTTGAAAATACAGACAATTTACGCGAATTTACGGAAAATTTACGGAAGAGATATTATGTGTTGCATCATTGTTTGTCAGTGAGCTAGTAATATTTTGTAAAGATCTGGGACTGTTTAATTTTAACAGTACCTTTAGAAACTGACCATCGCAGTGTGTCTCAATATTGATGAAAAGCCAAGTGTAAAGTGTGAGGATCCACCTTATTTTACTTTATCCACCCCTCTACTTATTCAAGAAGTGAACAAACTTCATAACGTATAATGATTATATGTATTAAGCAATAAAAATATTTTGTAAATAAAAAACAATATAAATATTGTCAGTATAAAAAATAATAAATACTCTATTATGAACCGGCCCGATTATGCAAAGAAGAACCACGCTTAATTCATTAAGTTTGAAAAGGTGCCGTAACTAGGTGTCTTGATAATTTAATCCTTACAGGATTGCCCAATTAAAATGTTCCCAAAGACTTTTTACATATTCAACAGCGAAGGGTTAAAACAAGCCTAAAAACGACGTAAAATTTACAACTCCTGCGAGATTTTATTCGGTTATAATGACATTTTAGGCATCGATTAGTAAAAGTTTGCACGCAAAGTTTTACAATCGCGTGAAAAGATTTAACTTGTCTATTTAAAGGAAAATCAATATAAAAAAGGTTTGAAATGTGTTAGAAATAACACTTGCTATAGTCAACATGCAAAATAAGTGGACTTTTATTTTACGTATATGAAACATGAAAATAAATTTTGATGTGGAGCTTTACTTTTTTTTAGTAGAAGATATAAGCATACATATTTTCAGTCTTTACATCTAATGGAAAAGTTTCATTTATATATTTTAAATAAAACTATCTTTTCGGATTTAGGGGAAAGGTGTACGAGATGATCCGTTGAGGTATGATGATCCTTTTAAATTACACAGAAACTATTAATGCCACCTAGATGTTTCTTTTGGTAAAACATAGCTCCCGATGGCCCTTCTCATCAGTCAATTCGTAATGGCGGCGTGAGTGACGAGTAAAGTTTGACGACATAAAACAAAAAATGTGTGACGTAGATCTAAGGTAAGATTGATTTTAAATCTACGTTACTTTTATTCTAGACTGTCAAATGCAATGTTTGTTGTATTAGTAGGTGTCAAAAATATTCTATTTTGTTTTTATAATGGCATAATAACTCAAATAGAAAGCATTTAGGTTATATTCGAATAAAGGATAAAAAATTGTAGTTGGGGCAAGATGATTAGGTTGTAGGTGTACGTGATGATCCGTGCGGATCGCCTTGCACCTAACATATTGTTTATTTTACTGACTTTCACTTATATATTACACAGAAGTATTTTTTTTTATTGTTTTAGAATATGCCGCGTAATTGTAGAAGAAAATCGAATCGTAGCGGGTCGTTGGAAGACTATGATTAAAGCACTGGATGCTGTAAAAGGAAGAAAAGTTAAAGAAGTATCCAATAAGAGAAAGAAAACTTCTTATATTCTCGAGTCTGAGTCATCTGAAGGAGAAGAAGATACAGAATGTCTATTTTTCACGGAAACATTTTCCAAGGATAACATGGGTGAATTATGGATAAAATGTTGTGAATGACAAAAATGGGGTCATCTTGTGCAGGGATAGATAGTGATGATCCTGATGAATTTACTTGTGATTTGTGTAAGAACACCAGGAAAAAAGCGTTTAGAATTTTAAATAAACTAATCTACTTAGCTAAAAAGTTTTTGAGCTTAATATTAATATGAAGAACTTTTGACTTAATTTTGTCCTGAGTGCTAATTTTTAAAACTATTTTATATTAACTATTTTTTAATATATATTTAATAATTATTATTTTTAAGATTTTATACTTGGATGTTGATTATGGAGATTTATTAATTAATTTGTTAAAAATGCTTAATACTATCGATCTTATGCTGTAATGATTGTTATCCGTAATTTAGAGACTGATTTATTATTAAAATACTTGCTTAGTTTAATTTAAGCTTTTTAAGATTTAAGTTTATATAAGATTATTTTGATCTCAAAGTTCAGTAATACCTAAGATTACATAAATAAACACATTTGTAACATGAATAAGTTGTTTTTTTTTTTCAATTAATTTTACCAAAACTCACAAAATTCCCAAAATAGGGGCAAGACGATTCCTAGGATCGTCTTAATTTTTTATTTAGATTTTTTTATTTAGAATTTTTGTCTGAGAAAAATCACTGGAGGGATTTTGATGAAATTTGGTATGGAGATAGCTGGTTATCCGAGTCAACATATAGGATACTTTTTACCGCTGGAAAATATCTCATTTCTGAGAAAAAATACAAAAACTGCAATGTATATATAAAACCTAAGAATTTGGTTTTTGGTCATCTGAACGCGAGCGGAGACGCGGGCAATGCCAGTAATAATTATAATAGTAGTATTTTCTTAGACTTCCAAAATTGATGTAAAGCATAAATAAATCCGCTAAAAATTCAAAAAGAGAGTTTTATTTCTGTGATAATGATATGAAATATGTTTTATAATGTGTATTATTATAGATTTTAGAACATATTATAAACTAGCTCACCCTCGCTTCGCTCTGGGTCGAGCAAAAACAAAAACAAATCTATCCCGTTTCCGGGATAAAAAGTAGCCTGTGTTATTCTGATGTATGAGCTATATTATTGTAAAGTTTCATTAAAATCCATTCAGTAGTTTTTGCGTGCAAGAGTAACAAACATCCATACATCTATACATCCAGACATCCATACGTCTTCACAAACTTTCGCATTTGTAATATTAGTAGTATTAAGGATGTCAAGTAATTAAATGCAAGTTTTTTTATGATATTTTGATCTGTTAAGTACTATAATATTAATCAACTAAAATGACATTTTGACAACGTTTTTTTACACATTTTTTTAGTAAGTCCTTTTACGTAAAAGAAAATTACTATTTTGTTAAAGCGAAAAATTACGATTAAAACATAGATAATCTATATTTTGCAATGTATATTACAGGCCTCGGTAGCGCAGTAGGCAGCGCGTAAGTCTCATAATCTTAAGGTCGTGAGTTCGATCCTCACCCGGGGCATATTTTTTCGATTTGATAAAAAAAAATTATCTTATAGCTCATTAAATAATTTTATGTAACTAAGATTAATTAAAAATAAGGTATTAAATAATTAATACATAGATATAAGTAAAGTACGTTTTAAATGGTGTGGCACGCGTAGCTTAAAGTAATATTTTTGTACATCTAACATCAATACATAATTTTTGAATATAATAAAAAATATTTATCCCGTACTTTAACTTAAATCCATAATGGTTAAATTCAAAACATTAATAATTACAATTATTATTATACCTAGTAGGAACTTATAGCGCCATCTTGTAGCCATAGACTAATAACATTTGTTTAAGTGTTTCAGCGCCATCTAGAGAAATTAGTGAAAAACATTTGCTTATTGAATGATGTCGTACTCACTGCTTCGTCAAAGTCCTTATACTATTAACTAGATGTCACTTATTTAAAAATATTAATATATTATAGTTACATATTTTCAAAAATATAATTTGACGCTAATATCTGACAAATTATATAAAAAAATTGAATTCAGTAATAATATTAATTGTAAAAAATATTAAAAAAATGTAGTAAACACAATGCATATAAAAAAATATATCAAAATATTGCCTTTATCTATCACAATCATTTTTAAATCCTAGCACACCGACTTTTGGATGATAAATGTCCTAGATGTCATAAGATTTAACCTTATAATTCATATATATTAATGAATTACATAGATTAGATCCTAATGTGGATCAACTTTATTTACATGACAGCAATCTCTTAGGTAGGTAATAAATTTTCATAATCAAAAAACTGATCGCAAATTATAATATCAGGAAGAAAAACATTTTTAACTCATTCCTTGTTTTTTTTTCTTTAGAAGCACAATAAAGTATCTACAATAATTTAATTTAATATGTAGATATTTTATACCATGGCTAGGCATAGTGCAAAGGCAAGCAAAGAACGAGTCCGTCAGTAAAGCTTGACAGTTAGCAGGGCAAAACGAGCAAGTTGATGGGGTATTGTTTCGAATTCCGTCACGCGTCGACCTGCAAGGGTTAAGCCGGTTAAGGCCACCGTTCAGAGGCTGACGTTTTGAGCTTTTATTGGCAATACCATTGGAATTTGTAGCGTTTATTTGAAAACCTAGTTGCTCTGAAATATTAGTCAGCCCTATTCCATCTGCAAAAATGTGTGAACAAATTTTAAAATTATTCTTATGATATGAGTAGGTACCTAACTCTCCAAATGTAATTTAATTAACTCATTTAAAAGGTAAAATTATTTATGTATGACCATATTATTGTACCTGCCTAGTGCCTTGGGATGAATACTTTTTATTTCGTGCCCATTTATAGCACTTTATCTGAATCATATATGTAGGTCCCCTAGTTTTATAACAAACACCAATATTTAATATGTTTCGAAGCCACTTTTCAATATTTATGTAATAATATATATATGACCGGACAGATGTTGCTTAGTCCAAATTTCAATTTTATTTGTGGTCCATATGTTCATACTAAAGTCATACCTATAAAGAAAAAAGCACTAGCTTTTCTCCAATTTATCAACTTTACCGGCAAATTTTCAATATTTTCCCAATATAGGAAACCGAAACCTTATTTGAAATATAAGTTGTAACGAAGATTTTAAAAATTACATATAGCTATCAATATAGCCATGGATATCATATGGACCAATGTCCAGCCAATTAGTGATGCGCTTGCCAACTAACCGAATTTCATTTTTATTTATGTATATATGTACATATTTACGTATATTACTTAAAAAATAAAACACTCATAATAACATAAATACAAGAGCTTCTTCATTCTATCTTTAGATATCATTATGATTATAAAATAACGCGTTTTGTTAACTGCTCCTTCAGAATTCGGCATATTCATCATGTTACCCTTTATTGGACAAGGGGTTGTTGTTATAAATAAATCAAAAACTAAATTGTTCTTGGACATAGTTGAGCTTAAGTTAAAGGGAAGATTTTGTATCGACCGACTTCATAAAAATGACAAAAAATTCTGGAGATTTAACATGTACCTACTTTAAATGTAAGGGCAACTTTGAATTATTGAATTTACTTACTTAGCTGAGTTTTCACTTTGTCTAGCTTCATTGAATAATATTATTATATTAAATTAAAATAATTTTAAATTATTTGATATATTATTTTAATATTTTTTGACTAACAACTTTAACTGTTGAGATTTATATGTATGTATAATGTAACACCTACCTAAGTAAGTCTAGTTGCGTGATTTACAAGTACATTTATATTTATAATAAAAATAATACTAAAGAAATATGATTATCAAAATAAAGTTTGAGACGTTTAAAAAGCTTTCCCTTAATAACGTATTGTGACGTTGCACCCTTAAAACGGTCCAATTATACCCTTTAAGGGCGCCGCCCTAAAACGTTATTAAGCAGAGATTTATATCAAGTCATTAAGAGCATTGATTAGTTACGGATACCGTTTCGAGATATTTAACACGTGGCGATTAAAAAAGCTTTCTACTGAGCTTTTATGTAAAAGTATAAATATTAAAAAAATATTAAGGAAACAGTAAAAGATATTCATTTAATTGTAGTTTCTGTTACATTAGAAAACTGTTTTTTTGTTAATTTCTAGAATCTAAGCAGTTTTTTATTTATTTGTGTGTTCGTGTAAATCTCTGAAATTACGTAGCGGTCACATTAGAAAGAAATATTGATGCATATATTGCCTATTTATTTAAAAAAAAGATTGTGTAATATCACACTACGACGCGACGCATAAGAGTGAAGCACTTTAATTTACTTAGTAACTTCAAATTATTTTACTTATTGACTTTAATAGTTGGATAGAACACTTTCAACCATCTGCTAATCATTTATCGCTTTTACGATTGCTGTCTCTACTAATATTATAGAGGAAAGATTTGATTTTTGTTTGTTTGTTTGTACTGAATAGGCTCAGAAACTACTGAACCGATTTAGATGAAATTTGGTAAAAAGATAGTTTGAGACCCTGGAAAGGCTATAGGATAGTTTTTATCCCGGAATTCATCCTTTAAGGGGGTGAAAATGGGAATGAAAATTTGTATGGGAAATCAACCTATCCTTAATAAATTGGAATTCTCAAATCAAGAAATTTATTAAAAATTATAACCTAAGTAGCATGTCAAAAGTATGTAGTACATCTTACTACATAATTTTAAAATTAAAGTTTAATTGTAAGTTTTCATAAAACTTTACAATACTATATACAAATCATATAACAAAAAAGTATTCGAAAAATATTTATTAACACGTTTTATTATCTTTATAATTTATATCCATGATATGATACAATGTGCGTGAGATAATTTATTATAAACAATTATTATTTAACATAATTATGCAACACGAGTATAATTTTAGTGGTTATATTTCAATTTTGGCACATAAATCGCTTATCAGGAATCAACCATGTAGGTAAAGCGATCCATTACGTTAATGCCACCACTATTATTATTCCGCTTCATCTTACT